AGCTCAGCAAATTAATTGGCGATCGTTAGCAGGTGGAAAATTGCGCGGGAAACAAGAACACCAGAACTAGCCCAGCCAGTTTACAATACTTCCGTTTCGTAACGGGCTAAATTTTAATTGCCTCATTTCGATCTGTTGACGATTCATTTAAGCGTTCTTCCGATGTAAACGGAGCGCAAAAGTGTTTTACGAATTGTCTGCATCTAAATTCTAATCGGTTTTAAAATGATTCATTTGGTTGTTTTTATCAAATGGATAAGAACGAGCAATTCATTCTGGAGAGAATGAAATTTTAATATCTTCGATTGTTTTCAATGGATGTTTTTTTAAAGATTATCATTTTAGGTAGTTCACAGAAACAAATTTCCTTCAGAATGTTAAGAAAGCTTGACAAGTTTATCAGTGGTTTATTTTCACTTTAATAGTGTTTATGTGATTACTGGAGTAGCAATTTTTCTTTCTGTAATTCTGCTTTTTGTATTGCACTCTTCAGCATGTTGGCAGTGGAGAAGCATAAGAGAGACACAAGCTGGTGTCTAATGAAATGTCTTACCAAATGGTGTCTAATGAACTTGATCGTTGTCACGTTCTAGGTTCAGTGTATAATTGCATTGTCAAATCAATACTGTGTAGCTATGTATGTTACACAGTGACACTAGATTTACTGACATTTATTGTAGACTTTCTTTTATTGTTCCTGAAAAGATAGATGTTCGTTTATATAGACTTTGGAATTTAATGCTTCAAGAAGAAAAAGAAAATTGGGATACGTATTTGTATAATTGCATCAGTCAAAATCGATATAAACTTTTACCAAATAATTATAAAATTCATTATCCTAGTTTTAGACACAAGTATTCCCAAGTAGTATTATTACATTATATTATCTCAACATTCAAATAAACTTTTCTATTATTAAATATTTGTTTGCTTGGGAAGTACGTATTGCAACATTTAATATTTGTAACATTAGTACTTGAAAATATATCCTGAAGGGTATCTTGTGAATAAAATATATTCGAGACAATCGATATACGAAATTTGGTATACATGCACTTTGACTAAATCAATTTATTACGGACAATTTAATCAATAGTTATTCTGAAATACTCCTACATTTTATATGAAACAGTAAATAAAAATGTATGACAACGTTCCTTTACTTAAAGCTTCATTGTTGAAGAAAATATGTGGCACATCGTATTTGGTTACCTGGTGATATGTCATTATACTGTTCTTCACTAAATTACCAGTTGTGCCGTCAACTTAAAATTTAGTTTCATATTTTATGATTTAAATACATTTAAAATTTAAAAAGAAATAAAATCTGTTATACCATCTTTGTCCTGTTATGTATCGTTATAAATTTTAGTCGTCTGACAGAAAAATAATTCTACAAATACTTCGTCTATCTTTCAACACTTGCCTCATATTTAATAAATGTCTGTGGTAAATGTTTTGGCTAAATGGAATACAAAGAATTTCGAGTATTTTGGCGAACGTCGTTGAACTACAGATTTCATAAATTCTTCTTAATTTATCGAAGATCAAGGTTCGCAATATTCTGTATCAAGATTCCTCATATATTTGATAAATGTACATAATAATTAAAACATTTGAGAATCATTTTTACTATAAATAACATCGTCCAAATTTTGAAAAACAGTTTCTATTTATATTTACTTCTCTAATACTGGAGCGACTGTATTTTATATGCAATTGCATTATCGCAATTTTAGTGACTTTCTGGAGCCTGAATTTCGTGTTTGAAGTTGGACAAGCATTTACATATATTTGAATGTGTTATAACGTTTCGTAAAAGGGTACTAACATTGTTTTCAACTATTTAGGTATTCATAATGGATATTTTCATTCGAGCGCTGTTTTCTATTTCCCTTTTATTTAATATTATCGAAGACGATTTGATTAAAAATTTGCAAGATCGTTCTGTATACTGAAAAGTTGTTTTTTAAAATTAATTTAGATCATTGTTTGAAATAAATAGTACGTTTATACCATTATAATTTATTTCGTTTAATAATTTTGCGATGCCATGATAAAAAATAGATATGTAGTTTCAAGATAAAAAAAATATAATCATCTCATTTAAGAATGAAATATATTTAGTTTACAAATATTATGAGTACGAATGTTCGCAATCTATCAATTTATTATTATTAGACTTAATATTAATTAATGTTAGAAAAGTGTAATAATTATTATGTATCGACGTATTTCATAATTTGTATTTTGTTTGTAGTTCTAGAAACGATTTTGTTATTATGATACAATTATATTTGTGTTCAATAAAATTATATTCATCAAAAACCCCATAATTGAAACTACCAGTTTCTAAATTTTATTTTTGCAAAATTGTGAGCGTATAAAATTAATGTAAATTTTTATCAATTGCTACGGATAATTTAGATTTGCTTTTCAGATTTTCATTCGCGCAGGTTCCATTTTTCGCCAGAGATTAGCTGGTGTGTTCTGCACGTTTTTTTGTTCTTACACACTTTGACATCACGTTCCAGCTAACGAGGTACTCGTTAGTTGCTAACGAATTGTTTGGAAAATCCAGGTCTAAAACGTGCTCGCCATTTGGTTAATATTTGAATTGATAATGACTGATAGTACGAACTAACAGAAAATCCAGAATTCTTATCTTGCCTTGAGTAAAAGAAGACATAGTTTGTTCATAATGAATTACCTGGAGAACGCTAAATAAAGTATAGTAATACCGATAATAGGGAAATAAATTATTTACTTCCTCAAATAAGAAAATAAAAATAATAAATATAATGATTTTCAGTTTTCAAAATATTTAAATTACTTTTCTAATAAAAGGATATTTTGAGTAATATATACTTGAAGAAATTTCAAATAAATTGTTATTAGTTCTATCGCAGTAACGCAAAATTAAATTATTTGTAACTATGACAAAATTGTAAAATAGTACATTGTATGAGATAGCGAAAAGTTTTTAATACAATTATTATAACATATCTATAAGAAATCTTTGTAGCAATATTTATTAATTGTAGAACATAAATCAGTATATCATTGAAATATATTAGTAGTATAATAAATAAGAAGTACATATGAACATACCAATAATATGTTTATTTAACGTTGCATTAGTTATACGCCTTTATGATTATTTATTTATTCTCAGTAACCATACAATCAACTAAATACGAATTTTCTGCACAAGCATAAATTACAGAAATTTTACTAAACATTTAATTACTGAATCATATATTATATGTTTGTTTCTTATATCACATATTTACTAACATGTCAGCAATATTTTTGCATCATTATAAAATATAACCCGTATTAATATACATTATTTATAAAATAAAACAATTAAATTCTTATATCTGTACAATATTACTAATATTCATCTGTAGCACATATAAAAAAAACTTAATAAATTTTATTTATTAATCTTTCTTATGTGTGGTGCAGACTAATATCACAACTATTCTGACAATTTAATAATTTAATTGTTTTATTTCATAAATAATATCTATACAGGTTATAGTGTAAGAATATTTTAGAAATTTCAGCATTAAAACTACATGCTAAATTAATCGAAGCCCTCTTCGTAACACCTTTGACTTTTAAAACGTTTCTCCAGTGACTTATAGAGCATGACGGATCTTTTCATCTTAAAGTTGGCTTACAGAAACTAACCAGATCATGCAGTATGGCTTCTGGACCTTTAGACGATCTAAGGTCTTTGCACCGTTTCCTTATCAGAGAAATAAAATCTCTTATGGCTATAAATGTTTTACGTTTCGTATATGCGTCACATTTGTAAGTAAAAGAGAAGATTAGGTTGAAACATTTGGCTTTGAATAACGTCTCCCGCGTGTGATTAAAATCTTTAAACAAAAGTAACTTGTATTTACTTTTCACACTCGCAGTCTCTTTTACTACCTATACCGACTTTAATGTTGTTTTTTGATTGTTGAACTTTCTGCATTCACACCGTATACAAATTTTCAGCAGATTATGAAATAAAGACTTTAATAAAATTTAATACAGAATTACTTTGCCTTCATTTTATTGTAAGTACTTATAATGCAAACTGAATTTTATTCAAATTCTTTAAACATCTCTATGAAAATGCATATGTGCATAAACCTTTGCTGTTTGGTTCTTATTGCAGAAAGAACATATATTTAGTACTTTATTGAAGATTATCAACTTAATTTAAATACCAGCATTAATTTTAATGTCACAGTTAACTCTACTTTAATTTCGTTTGCTGAATTACTGTTTTCGTTAATGTTTATTTTTCATATTTGTACGGATTATTGAATTATATTTTATAAATATTAATTAAAAATAAGAGAGTGTTTGATGTAAATATAAAAAACAGATGAAAGTGTATTGTGTTATGTTGTTCAACATAATATAACGTATTCAAGAATTTTTTTTATAATTATACGATAGCGAAGATAAAACAAGAAAAAGAGCGATAGATATCAATTAATTAGTATCGTTTAGATATCGTTATTTTTCTTATTTTTAATATTTTATATATTATAATATGTTATATTTATTTATATAT